ATGCAAGAAACCTTAAATGCTCAAGACCGCGGGCTCGAAAATAATCAGCTATAAACTGAAAGCAGAACACTCCAGATTTATTCTATGGAGTGAGAATAGTGAAACTAAAACTCTCTGAAATCGCTTTAAAACAGTCCAAAGCGACATGGAAACACGTGTAACACATCAAACACCAAGAAGACGAGCTAAGTCGTTTTTAAATGCATTTCTTTTCTATTCATTACATCCCCAAATTAAGCTATGCAAACATCTATGTTTAAGCTACTGCAATGTTATTGTCATATGATGTTCACAGCTCCCAGTGAGGCTGCTCGGGACTTGGTAATAACTTGATAGCCGGGTAGCAAGGCTAAACAGAAATGATTCTGATTTTGTTTGGCAACACTATTGAGGGTCCTCTAACGAAACAAAAACGAAAAATGTAATATAAAAATGCTTGATATTTTCAAATTACCGAAATATAAAAACACAATCTTTGGCGCTATCAGCAACAAACAGCGAGTTCCCAGAACTTGATAACGTAACAGAGCAAGGGTACTGGAGGGAAGTAAAAAGTGGAATTATCCTGTTTAAAAATTTTCCATCCAGTGTAAAAACTTTCAGGTCGCTGTCATTCCCGTCACACACTACAAGATTGTTAAACTTGTCAATGGCAAGTCCAAGAGGCTTACTCAAGTGTCCGTCACCAGACTTCTCACTGCCAATATCATAAAGAAATTCGCCTCCTTTACTAAACACTTTGACAACATGAGTCAAGGGATAAGAGACAAAGAACACGTTCTGATGACAGACAGCAATCCAAGGGGACTCATCACAGTCTGAAGCACTAAAGGACTGTACCAACTCTGTACCCTCAGGGGAGAGGACTTTGACTGAGTTATCACCCCGGTCAGACACCACCATGAGGTCATCACAGGTAATAGTCAATTGGAATGGATCTTTAACGTGTTTGTTGGTGATACTGTTGAGAAACTGACCATTTTCGTTGAAGCAATACATAGCGCTCGAAGCAATGACAATGAGTTTACCGGTATTGGTGAATGCAACTGAAGTGGGGGGCCTTAGTTTTTTAGCTGGGCCTTTCTGACCAAACGCCGTTAAATAGTCTAAACCTGAGTCAAAAAGTTGTACTCTTTTGTTCTTTTGATCAACCACTGCAACTTCCCTTGTCTTCTTGCTTATTGCAACATCACAAGGTTCTTTAAATTTTCCATGAGCTTTCCCACGTCCTCCCCAAAAATGTAGCAAATCGTACCGATGTGGACGAACCTGAACACCCCAGGCACTACCAGGCAGCGGTTGATCATTAACTAAGATCATCACTTCATGATGTCCATGACAATTAGGAGTATAGGCGACACTATATTTACCATTTCCGAAGTCTTTAGCCTTGTTCTCCAGATTCTCTCCGGATGGAGTTCGAACTTTTACTGTTATCTGGTCGATTTCATAATAACACCGTTTCCCATCTGAGTCGTTTGTCAAGATTGTAAAATATGATTCTATTCCAGCTTCCCCTTCTTTCAAGCCTCTCCCTTCGGCTACTGACCGCAAAGGATTCGTGTTACTAACATCAACTTGACCCGGAACCGCACTTTTCACATTCTTAACATAATCTTCGTTTATCTTGTAATAAACATGCGATGGTTTATAAATGTCCAT